TTTCCCAACTTTCTTCCAAGGCACTTGTGAGGGTAAAAATGGAAAAATGCTAAACTTTGAAGTTTTTTTTAGTTTTTCCTTTTTTTTTAGCCAGTCAACGGCTATTTTGAAAAATTGGTCGGGTGACCCGGGTATTTCCCACTATTTCCTCTTTAATGGAGTCATTGTGGATAATGTGTCAAACTCAACTGTAGATAGGATAATTGACTATACGCCTCTCCGCAGTTAGACAGGCTATAATGACACAATGAGATGAGAGAAAATTGGTTTAGATGGAATTTTTATCAAAGTATGGAAGTGTCTGGATATTTTATAGTTCACAAAATTGTTCAGTGAGATGTTAAAGAGTAAAAAAGAAGTTAAATAAATGGAGGAAGAGTCTATTAATTTATCAAAATTTACTGAAAATCTGATTTTAATCCCTACCAAATAGGAGCTATAAGAGGGAGAGAAATCCAAAACTAACATAACATATTTTAATGTTGAAGGATTTAATTGCATTGGGTTGAGAATAAGACTTGGTTTGTTAGAGCATTTTGATCCAGTCGAGTTAGAGATGCACAGTAGAAATGACTTGCTTGCACGTTAAATAAACGTGATTCTCAGATAGCCTCCTTGCTTATTATCTATATTCTTAATTCATCCTGTAGATGGGCATTGATCATGTCAGGATTCATCCGAAATTCTTGCATTCAAATGCAACTAGCCATAAGTGGGCTTTGGGAGGTAAATATTAATTCAACCACGTCAGCTTTGTTTTGCTATAATTATGCAAAGCTTTATTTGTAAAATATTTTTTCTGACCATGGTTTCTACTTTTTAGCTTTTGCTGAGCTTCTAGACAACGCCTTAGATGAGGTACTTGACTTTGATCTTGAAGGGTAATGCATTTTTTTCTTTTTAATTTTATGGGTTGCCGACCATTTAATCTTGTATTGTTGTCAGACTTGCAATGGAGCAACCTATGTCCATGTAGATGTGCTCAATAATAGGAAGGACAATTGTAAAATGTTGTCAATTGAAGGTTAATTAATCACTTTTAGTTACTCTTTTTCCAATGTCCATTTTATTTACCACTATTCAATTCTTTTTTGTTTTCAAATTTTTAAGGGGTGCGGGAGGTTTTACCTCTTTTTCCCTCACAAAAAAATGCCAACTAAAAATTAGTATTTTTGTAAATCCTAGTTCATATTGCATCTTCATTCAATTAATATCTACATTGCTGATTACAGATAATGGAGGTGGCATGAATCCTGATAAGTTGCGGAAGTGCATGTCTTTAGGGTTTTCTATGAAAAGCAAAATTCCCAACACTATTGGGCAATGTAAGCTATTACATTATGTAGAAATCGTATGCATCACATTCTGGTTGTTAATGGTATTTATCATTTTTAAAATTTTCAACAGATGGTAATGGTTTCAAGACTAGTACTATGAGGCTTGGGGCAGATGTCATTGTGTTCTCGCGTTGTCGGGGGACAGATGGACGAAGGTAGTTGCTTTATCATTTATGTCAGTTCTGTGTTCGTGGCATTTTTAGCTGCCATTAATGATGCTACAGCTTTCGTCATTCTTCAATCATTTCATTATATTTTCAGAACTGAACACTTTCAAGTTTCACAGTATTGGACTGATTAGATTATTTTATTTTCCTTTGCCTTTAGCACAACACAAAGTATTGGATTACTATCCTATACATTCTTGATGGAAACCGGAAAGGAAGATACTGTGGTTCCCATGGTATGATTTAAAACTTTAATGAATATATTCGTTATATCATTAGTAGATACAATAAATTGGTGAATGGATGTTGCTTGATCTTCATTATATGCTAATTCTACTAACGTTATACTCGGAGCTTGTCTATGTGTCTATATACTTGCAAATATTTGGGACACTCATTCTTTAACTGTAATAAATAGATTGATTATGAGAAACAAGGTGAGGCCTGGAACAAGATGGTAAGCTTTTCCACAGTTGATTGGGAAAAAAATCTTGGAACCATTGTGCAGTGATCTCCATATGGAAGTGAAAAAGATCTCCTTCAACAGGTGTAATAACAAATTTTAATTATTCTGATGCATTAGCATATCTTCTAATTGTTAATGGTTCTTGCTATTGTCTTCTTGTAGTTTAACTCCTTGAAAGATCAAGGAACACGCATTATAATATACAATTTGTGGGAAGATGACCAAGGAGCACCAGAGCTTGATTTTGACACGGATCAACATGTAGGCTTGAGATTCTCTCGTACAATATATATTTTTACCTGCATATTCGCCCCCATTATACTGATTCTGATATTCTTCTTGTAAGTAATAGCTATTAGTCATAAAAGAAAAAGGAGACTCGTATATTATTTTCCACTTCTTTTTTCAGGATATTCAAATTAGGGGTGTCAGGCGAGATGAGGAAAAGATAGAGATGGCAAAAAGTTATCTGAACTCAAGGCATTTTCTAACTTATCAGCATTCCTTGAGGGTATTTTTTAGTTTCTACTTTATTGCTAATGCATTTTATTTAGCTTCTTTCTTATTTCCTATTTGGTGTGATTGGCGTTTTTGCCATTATTTTTTGAATTGTTGTTGTTATGTTCTCACTTATGCCCACTTTGACTGGTTAACTGAGTATACTTTGGTATAACACGAAGTTAGATAGTGCTTGCATTTTTAGGGGAAAATAAGATTGAAGTCTTCCCTATGCGTCACTGTATATTTTTAATAGTTAGATATCCGTTTAGTTTCTTCTTCTCTAATTATTTCTTTCCTTTACCTGTTTCTGCAGAACTATGCCTCAATTTTGTACCTAAGGATTCCACCTGGTTTCCAAATGATTCTACGGGGAAAAGAAGTTGAGCATCATAATATAGTTAATGATATGATGCAATCTAAGGAGATTACATATAGGCCTACGCCAGACGCAGGGTCGAAGGATCCAAAAAGTGTAAGGCTTCTATGTTGTGATCTCAGCTTTTGCCTCTAAATACACGACACACTTCATTGCATTTTTTGACGGCATGGTTACTCGGTTCTTCTTTTGTCGTTGTTAAAGATGGTAGCAGTCGGGACTATTGGCTTTGTTAAAGATGCTAGACATCATACTGATGTTCAAGGGTTCAATATTTACCATAAGAATCGGCTTATCAAGGTTGTTTTACTAATACTACCCCATTTTTATATTAAATTCTTTTGTTAAGTGTGCTAATCTAAATTCGTTTCATTGTCAGCCGTTCTTGAGGGTCTGGAACGCAGCTGGAAGTGATGGCCGAGGAGTGATAGGTATTAATTTTTGCAAGCAACAGGAATAGCAGTGTTGTTTTTTTTAACTTAGATCCTTTATTTGGATTTCCTGAAGTGATTTTATTTATTTTAGGTGTATTGGAAGCTAATTTTGTCGAACCAGCACATGATAAACAGGGGTTTGAGCACACAGCTGTTCTATCAAGACTTGAGGCTAGGCTCAATTTCATACAGAAAAACTATTGGTTCGTTCTTTTATTCAGAAGTTCTGCGTTATGCTCAAAATTTTATAAAATTAGTGATCGAAGTTGTCATATTGTCTTTTAAGTTAGGTCCTCAAACTGCCATTTAGTTGGCTATGCTCCACGCCGACAACCAAAGAAGTCTGTTTCTCCCATGAAAGAAGATCCTGCTACACGCAAATCATGTTCCAGGTCTAAACCAAAGGCACAACCAAAGGAGCGTATCTCTTATGATGGTGCCTCAGTGCTGCAAACAACTAATAATACAGATTATAGATCGCCTGCTGATGCCACTGAAAATGTTGGAGCAACTCTGTCTAAGACACATGCTAGAAATCATAGTTATATATTTTCGATTAATGGAAGCTCTCAGGTAGAACCTGTATCAAACCAAATCACTCAAAACTTAATTGTGAAGGTAAATTACATTAGTTTTTTCATTCATTCATCTGGAAACTTTTTTTCCTTTGCTCTATCACACATGCTTTTAGCTGCATTGGCACTATCTTCAGTTTTTAAGTACTTACTCGTGGTGATTCAATGTCCTGAAGTAGAGGTTGGAGTCCATAATCTATGTATTCTTTCTGATTTTCCCATCGTAAACAGACTGAAGTGGTTAGCAGAGATGCACACGAGGCTTATCCTTGCACAACAGAGATGCTACTTAGTTTGACAGAAGAGAATAATTCTTTGCGAGAGAGGTAGTTAATTTAATTCTCATTTATAGTATTTTCGACAGGATCATATGCTTATTGCTGAATTGTGACTTTGCAGTTTAGAGGAAGTCGTGCAGAATTTGGCGTTTGAAAGGGACAGGAATATATCACATCAAAATCTAGTAAGCACTAATCAAATAAAAACTGATTCATCAATATTTAATAATAACAATAATGCCATATCTTGCTACAGCTTCAAGTTACACAGCAAAAATTGGAAAAGTACGAAGTTTTTGTTAGTGAAGAGAGAAGAAAGCGAGATGAGGAGGAAGTGCGTTTGAGGAAGCGAATAAAGGTCAAGACGGTTTACCTTTGATCATTCGTTCTTCAGATTTCTAAAGTAGTGGAATCATTTGATTTCTTCTTGTTGCAGGAAGCTTCTAAAACCATTGAAGGGTTGCTCCATAAAATCAAGATGCTGGAGAACATAGGCAAAACTGAAATATGACAAAAACAAGTAGTATATTAATTTGACATACAAAAATAATTAGGTCTATTTAATTTCAAGTTATGTACTAAATTGTACTATGAAATAAAAACTTTGTAGACTGATATGATTTAAACTTGCTCATGAAATATTTTGACACGACCTGTCCCGAATCATCTCAGTGGACCCGAAATGTGGATGATAGATATTATAGAAGCCAGATCTACCACCAAGGCTGACTATAGAGCCTATTTGGTGCACATTAAAATGAGAGAATGCATTTTTTTTAAGTGATGTGATGGAGAATATGTGGTTGAAAATGAAGGAAAAGTTATTGATGTGATGAAAAATATTATTTTATTGAAAAACGTGTGGTTGAAAATGAGTAGAAAAATGAGCATGAAAAAAATAATGTAGGTCAAACAGGGGCATAAATTACTACTAAATATGCGCCAAAATCAAATGTTTATGAAAAATATAATGCAATGGACCCAAAATAATTACTTCATGCTTTATCAAATGAATCATATCACTCAATATGTCTTGTGGCCACCACTTTGAAAGAACCAATTGCTACATGTAGGAAAATCGTGGAAAAGTATATGAGTTGATAGCTTAGTGATTAGAAAAATTCTAAAATAATTATACTTTCTCAATTATACATATTTATCGAAAATCGAGTTCATATTATTTAACAATTCACAATATAACATCAGATAATAATAATCAAGACATGAATCATTCTCGTAATACTGGAAAATGTAAACTTGAAATATTTCCATTTGAAACTTTAATTGTCACTGGGCCCTTGACACACCTATTAGGCACAGGATCTCTACGCAATATCAACATCGATAATCAATAATCATCTGGGCATAGTCGAGTGGACCATTCTCCTGTGATCATTAGAGGTACATCCTCTAATTGCCTCCATAATCAACCAAGAGGTATCTTACTCGAGATACCAATAATTACAATATCAATGTCGAGTGGACCATCCTCCTGTGACCATCAGAGGTACATATGACGGCCCCCATGGTCACCCAGGTAATATCCCACCCGAGGTACCAATAATCACCATATCACAAGGGTGAGGTTTAGTGGTCAATCCTCCCGTGATTACCAAAGGCACATTCCCTATACACCCCTGCGATCACCCGAAAAGTCTCACTTGTGGCCAATACAATAGCATACCTCGGTGTCCTAATAGTGATCAATAAAACATGTCTTAAATTCTAATTCACAAATAATCCATATACAATTTTTGAAATTTCACATATATCATAATGAAAGAATATTTTCACAATAATCATGTAATTGGACAAATAATTCACATAATTGTTAAAATGTATAATAATATAATTAATTTATCAATACTTGAAAAATAATTTAAATTTTTTCCACTCACGGATCTAGGGATAGAAATCTGGTTAAATTGAGGAGTCTTTCCAAATTTCACATCACTACCTGAAATAACAGTATAATAACTCAAATTAAAACCTGACAAGTAAACTAATGAAAATCCGCCACATAATCCCTCAACTTATATATTTATTCTTACGTCTATACTTCTCTAATTTTCCTTTCTTTAATTATTTACCAACAAATCACCACACATGATCGATCAAATCCATTAAATTACCATACTTTCTAAAAATCACTACCTTGTACATATACAATCTCTATACATAACTTAATCCAATATCTAGACTTCAATATTTATCATATAACTTCATTCAAACATTTAAAATCTGAAAATCAAAGGTTTGACAAAAACAACTTTAAAAGTCCACATTATTGAATTTTGGCACCAGTTTCTGGATATTACAATAGTCATCGAAACTATTGACAGAAAAAGCACTTTCTCTGCAGATTTCCAAAAGTAGCACAGGGTGATAATTTGTACTAAAATTGAAGAAAATGAGTTGAAAATACCAAAATCAAACCTAAAATCCATATTCCACTCTAATTCCTCATAAAATCAAGTTTTTTTTTTTATATAAACACAATAGATTTAAAGATTGAAGTTGTAATTTATAAATCCATTTCATATTTCTTCAACATATATTCAAATCCAATATATATTCTCTCTTCCAAATCTTTAAAGTTAAGCCACTAATTACAAACCCAAATTTAACAATATTGAATGACAAATTGTTTTCTTACCTCTTGGAATAGAAGCAATGAAAAATCTTATATTTGAGTCTATATTTCATCTTCTTCAATTACCTCTATTTTTTTTTCCTTCCCTTCCCTTCACTTTTCCTTCTTTTCTTTTCTTCTCTCTCTCTCTCTTCTCTTCTCGTATGTAAAATTAATCAATTTCATATATTTTAATAGATTAATAGTTTGTAATTGCAAGCCAAGTCCTCAACCTCCATATAATATAACAGTTAGTCATGTCATTTATCATATTGAAAATAAATCCCAAGATTTCTTTTTGGCTAATTAGCACAAAACGTCCCTACCTTTGGGGTGGATTTCGAAAACCGTCCCTACCTTTCATTTCTTGGCATTTATACCCCTACCTTCCACTTTTTGTGCTCTGAACGTACTTTTCACAACTTTTTGACGATTATACCATCCATTCAATTGAAACAAAAAGGAAAGAAAAGAGAAGCTAAAGAATTAATTACAATGATAACCACAAATTTTTAAAACCCACTTTTCAGTCACAAATACTAATTTTTTTGCCCCCAACCAGCTGCCAACTTCGGAGCTATTTTCAGCCACCTTTCGACCACCAAAACCACCGGATATTGGCATCAATGGAAAGCTCTTAACCTCCTCTACAATCACCACCCAACAACTCCCCAAAACACAAAATAATCTTGTCGAAATCGACTCTCAAATTCAGCCACTCGAAAATCTGAAAACTGTTGGAATCTCCTCCTCCGGCCACCACCTTTGATGGTCAAAAACTCTGGCCAACCACCACCAAAACCACCGGACATTAACACTACTAGAAAGTCCTCACTATGCCCTTCAATTCCCACTCAATATCATGCCTCGAACAACCCTAAAATCGCTGAAAATTTGGATAAAAATTGCCTGCTCATTTTGCTAAAACCGATCGACAACTCCTTTTTCGGCGACACCCATGCAAAGCCCAACATTCCAATTGATTCTCCACCTCAAGACGCCCCTGTCCATTGTCCCCAACCGTCCCTATTGCTCAGAATCAACACCATCATGTGGTAGCTTCGAACACAGTGAAAACGCAACTTTCAGACAGATTTTCTGGCACCAGTGGTACGAACGACGATCGAGAACCACCACCACTAACACCTACTCCTCAAGGCGCTTCCAATGAGCATATGGATCTTCCTCAATTTGGCCGGGAAACGGATGTTCATTCAGAAACAGGTTTAGCGCGCGGTGTTGGCTCTATTTTTTGATTTATGTTCACCCACTACCCCAATCAACAAATTGCAACCACCAACATTCAATTAAAGTTGCTAATACCATGGGTAATGGATCAATTGATTCAATTCATCAACCAATTAAAAGACTTTTGGATTTGGCCAATTTTTTTGGCCACCAACAGTTGGAAGTGGTTGGGGATGTAAAAATTAGTATCTTGTGACTGAAAAGTATGTTTTAAAAATTCGGGGTTATAGTAGCAATTAATTCTTTAGTTTTTCTTTTCTTTTCTTTTTGTTTTACTTGAATGAGGGGTAAAATCGTCAAAAAGAAGTGAAAAAGACATCCGGCGCACAGAAACGTTGAAGGTAAAGACGTCCTACGCACAAAATGAAAGGTAGGGATGATTTCCGAAATCCACGCCAAAGGTAGGGATGTTTTGTGCTAATTAGCCATTTCTTTTTATTCTGGCCCTTTAAATATTAGCAATTACAAATTAGACCCCATGAAAATCATTTATTTAACTTAAGTCCTTATTTGACTTGAGCTTTGACCAGTTGAATTACTTGACTTTAACTAAATAATTTCTTGATTTTGACTATAAATGAGTGGTGTAATTTCGACTTTTTCAATAAATGATTCTATTTGCATTATGGTCAATTAATCATTCAAATTGTTTATAATTGTACTAGAATAAAGATTTATAAGCAATGGTTGGTTAGTAGAAATATTAAGCTCCAGTTTGACACCCATTTTTTCTCTTTCTTCATTTCAACCACACATTCTATCAATAAAATAATATTATACGTAAACCAAAAAATTCTCATTACTTTTTAAACACATAATCTTCCATCAATCACTATTCCAAAAATTATTTTTCAAAAAAAATTTGTGTCAAACAGGGGCTTAAAGAGTACAAAATAAAATTTTAATTTCATTTTTTCAGTATTCCTATACAAATCCATGAGTTGTACATTTTGAATGATATTTATGTATTATTTCATGAGTTGCATGTTACGAGTGGTTATCGGTTGTCATTATTTGGTTACATGTTCTATTGTGTCTCGATTGCATTCGATTTTGTAAAACACACAAAATTTATTTGATTTGATATTTTTTAAAATGCATTTTTGAAAATAAAATTAAATTTATAACATAAAATTCAAAATATATTTTTGAAATTTTGAGCGTGAAAACTCATGAAACTCTCCATGGAGATGATGAAAATTCATGAAGACTCCGATGAGACTCTCTTGTAATTCTCCATATAGAAATTTTGCTTACAATATTAGGCGGCCAATCTAGAGCTTTTAAATTTATTTTAGTTTTTTTGCTTCATTCTCTATACATAGGATTTGCTCAGAGTTACATCAGCACCCAATTAGAATTTTTTAATAACACTAACGGATTAACAACTCCCAAGAAAGAGTTAGCCAAAAATAAGAGAAGACTAAAATGACTTCTAAATAGAGGGCTTGATATCAATAAACTAAAATAGAACCAAAACCTCTTCTTTTTTTTTTTCCCCCCTCCCTACGAAACTGAAAAACGACCATTAAAGCCAGAGAGCTCCAGCTTCTTTCAGCAGTGGAACCAAGGTTCCATTAATATGTGATGCCATAACTCTATCCATAGCACCAACAAGCTTACCGCCGATGAACACCACCGGCACGGCGGAGCCACCACCAAGCAGCCTCGTGAGTGCCCTTTCAATTTCTTTCCCTCTAGGATCCAGGTCCAGCTCATAAACAGTTGGGTTCACTCCCATGCCACAGAAGAGCCTCTTCACTGCATGGCACATACAACATGTACTAAGGCTGAATATCACCACTGCACTGCCGGATGCTAGCCGCACCACCCTCTCTAAAGGGTCCACCGCCGCGCTCTGCCGCACTGTAGAAGCATAGTAATTCCCATATGACTCTGCATGATAATGCATTTTCTTCAAAAAGTTACAAAAGACTGATTTTCAGATGATGATGAAATTGAAGACTGATCTGTGTGTATATATATATGTGTGTGTATGTGTTGTGTATAGTGGGGTGTGGTGGGGTAGAGGCAAGGGTGTTGTCTGATGTTTGTCGCAACGCGTGCTAAGAGTATCTACGTAGTTTTTGCTTTAAAAGGATGGAAAAATATGTAGGCACGAACTGTGGACAGCACAGAGACATACTCTGAAAGTGTAAATCGGCTATTGCTATATTAGATACTAATGTGTTGTTAAAGAATAGATAGATGAGACATTTTAGGACCTGAAAAGGAATGATTTTCTTACACCCAAAATCTCTGTATTACGTTTGTATGTATAGAGTCTATAGACGACGGCTGAGACCGTCCTTATTGTCGGGTTCTTACCAAAGAAGTTAATGCACATGTTGTCTCCTCTTTAATCCATCATTCAATATGTATGACAAAAATTCTATATTAACATTCATTTCAATATTTTGGCAGACATTCCATGATATTTAAAAAAATTGGCTATTAATTTGAGAATAAGTGTTAATAAAAAAGCGGGTTCAGATTGTCTATCACATCATAAAATGTCGACAAAAATGTCAGTGTATCAAAACTCTATTTATAATATACCAACATTACTACACCTATTAGTAAAAAGTAAGAGTCAGCACTATCGGGTTTAAGGATTGTATTCATGCTTGCTCAATTAATGAGTCCGTACACGAGGACGGATTTAGGATTTGATTAAAAAAAAAAATTTTAAGCAGAGCTAATATGAAAAAAAAAATGCACACAAAAAAAATTACTTATATATGAAAAAAAAAAATTACACTTGAAAAATTGAAAAGGGTTGGAATGAGGCCTAAATCCGCCCTGGTCTTTTGAATATAATCTTGATCTGACACTGATAAAATACATTCATAACTTTTCAGATGCCTATGCTCCATAGAACTCATCTACTTCAATGTCGAATTTTCAGCGATATAATAATATATATGATAAAGTCCGCATGATGGCTTAAATTTTTCAAATTTCTCGAGAAGTGACTTATGTGTGGAAATTATGTAATCAGTTAATAAAGTGGCTTTGTTTGAGTAGAAATTTAAGGCACTTTGAGGCAGCAAATTGAATGTTGCTTTCATTATTTATGTGCTTAGGTATCAAAAATAGTAAGAATTTTAATTTTGTGCTTGCATCGTTAAGGTAAAAGGGAAGTAGAATTAATAAAGTGATGGTGAAATGTCTTTATTGGAATTGCTTAAATGAGATGACATGAAGTTTATACATCATCGAATCTTTCGAAAATGATGCATGCTCGTGTCTTTGTATGATGTCATATCCTTTAAAAATTGCACGTAGGACACCCCCAAAAAGCTAAAGCAAATACTTATGGTTTCCACATCCCTCTGTCCACCTTTGTACTTGACACAATGTAATAAGTCATATTAAAAGCATTAGATAAAATTGCATTGTTGATCCTAATATAACGACCAACAAATTTATATCGAATCATTAATATTACGGGTGACCTCAATTGGAATTTTAATGAATTTTTTTAAAGTCCTTATAAATTTAAATATAGAAACCTATTCAAATTCATAAAATTTATAATATTTTAAAATTCATACAATTTTTCTACAAATAAAGTTATCATTTGACACTCCATTTCGAATCACCTTATTGGACGCCTAATATGACATGCATGTTAGTTAGACGTGAGACTCTATCAATGCTAACTTCGACCTCTCTTAGACTAAATCTAACTTTAAAATCAATAAAAATTCAAAAGTGGTGGTAGTTTCATAAGATTTAACAAAATTATCAGAAATAGTTTTTTCTTTTAGCAATCTGTTGAGTTCAATTCGAATTGAAAACTAATATGATTCTTCAATCCATCGTAACAACTGAAATTTAATCGAACAATAGATTGAGGCCCAATAATGCAATTTTAGTAAAGCATCAGCAAGAAAAAGATAATGGTCAAATAGTATTAGTGTCCACCTAAAGCGACAACAGGGTGGCAGTTTCCCATTAGAAAAGAAGGAAGGTTGCGCGTGCACTGAAGCGGTGGCAGAGGGGGTGGAGTTGGGCGGCGGGTAAAGTACGGATGCGGCGAAAACCGGCGAGAATCCATCAACTTCCGACCAGAAACTAACTCTACGTGTCTTTGTTGTCTCCCCTCACTTTTTTGCTTTTTTCACTTTTACTCGTAATCGTGGTAAGCATAAGCAGGCACGTATTCTTAACTCTGAGGGGTTGACCGAATTTAAGGAAAAGAAGGGCTCTTCATGCTATGTTCTGCTCACAAATCTTGTACTTTCATGTATATATTTGACCAATAAAGCCTGTAATAAAGAAGCATGGACATAGTAGCACTTGCATTGTCTCCCCCTTTTTTTTTAAATAAGTTTGTGACCAACTTACCATGATTTATGTAGAACTCATTATTCAATTCTGATCCCATTTGACATCCATTCTTTTAAAATTCATTTTAAATTACACATTTTTTAATAAAATAATATTTTTCACCACATCAATAACCATTCTTTACTTTTTAACAATATATTTTTCATCATATCATTATTTAAAATACATTATTTCCTTAATAAGAGACTGTTTGGTACAAATTTTCATTTTCTACAGTAAATCAATTCTCATTTTCAACCACACATTCTTCAATAAAATAATATTTTCCATCACATCAATACTTTTTTCTTCTTTTTCAACCACACATTTCCCATCATATCACTATTCAAAAGTCAANTTTTTCAACCACACATTTCCCATCATATCACTATTCAAAAATCAATTCTCCCACAAAAAATCCCTACCAAACACACTCTAATATTCATCAAACACACCCAGATCTTGTTTGAAAAATGATTTTGAAACTATTCTAGTAGTGTAAAATTAGTGAATGCATCTAGTTGTTTGAAGACGACTAGTCAAAAGTAAGCTCATTCATGATTTGGCTTCAACATGATAATAATATATGCCTGATTTTGGTGGACTAAAGTTATTAACATGTGTGAACTCGTGATTTTCTTAATATCTCACTTTAGTTTCCTAATAGACATCTTTTTAATTAATTAGACTTGCATTTGGTTGATCGGAGTGTAAACATGACGTAGCGGAAGATTATAGAAAAGATGAATAACCTCACAAAGATGAGAAAAACTCACGAGAAATTTTATTCAATTCAATAAACGGTGGCCTCAAAGGGGCTTACAATACTTTAAATAGTAAAATCCTAGCAAAATCCGGAAATAAATAATAAAAAATGGAAAAATTCGAGATAACAATTTAAATTGAAACTCCTAAAATTTAGGATCGTTCTCCAACAAACGGAATGCGAATTCGAATTTTATTGAATGAAATATTACCAAAATAAAAATTATCATAAACAGCAAAAACGCTTAATCGAGGGTTTAAACGACGAAATTTGCCCAAAATTCGACGTATGTCAGGGCCAAAGGCGCTAAGTTATGATCATTAGTCCATTTCCAATCGAATTAGACTAGCAATTCGTCAAAAATGGATAAACCCAAAATTATCATGAAATCATTATTTTGCCTTGCGATTCTACTTCATCATAAACTCTAATTACTTATGCACTTCATTAGAACGCAACCATTGCAAGTACTCCGATGTCCCAATGGCTAAACATTCAAATGTTTGCTTCTGGCTTACAATAGTTCATGTTTGGAAAGTGATTAGAATTAGTTAAATTATAAACAAACATAAATACTTAAGAATATCATGAAATGTGTAGATAAAAGTAAGTTTCGTCTATTATAAATAGCTTAAAAAACTAGATTCGACTAGAACGGTACTCGGCCAAACCTATACAACAATATTACATCTTGTAATGGTTGGTTCATAGTTGACACCACAGTCAACGCCATCAATCGAAAATCTCAGCAGTGTCAACGAGTACAACATTATATTTACTGGAATAATTGAAACAACCACTGTATGTGTGTCCATTATATTAGTACGTACATCACTTAGAATCAATAAGAATTTTCAATGAAATAAACAGTAGAAGATATTTGAATCAAGAAGTCTTAAATGACAACAAAATCGACGCGATTAATGTTATGTTAGTATCAACAATTTCTCTTTTCTAATTAAAACGATACAACAAATGCAATATATTCAATGTTTATTTCTTTATAATATTACAAAAAAATACTTTTTATGTGAAAGTAAAAGCTAGCATAAACAAGGCTGTTTGTTTGCATACGGGAAAAATTGGACTATTACTCTCAGTGGACTCCTATGCCTAAAAACCAGCTTACAAGATTGTTTTCTTCTAAACTTACATGTTCTTCCTCCGAATTATTTCCGCCATTATTGTTTTGAAAGAGCTCAAATTGCGCCACTGTTGCTGAAGTTCTTGAACTTGTCTTCTCGATTCTTCATTTTCGATATTATGAACATCTATTTCTCTAGCTGGACGTGCATCAATATTTCCATCACGGCAGCAACGATCAACCATGATAACTAAAGCTCTGATACCAATTTGATACCAGGTTGACAGGAAGTATGATAAAGTAAAGGAACGAGGGATGAAAGTACGAACATTAATGGACTTTAATTAACTAGTTTAGTCCAATTGGCAATAGGGGTGGGGTAACTATATTATTAACGGTGGGAGTATGAGCAGTCCAACCATTCTGAACGCTCACCCAAACCTGCTTATCCATAAACTTAAGAAAATCTCTCATCCTAACATTCCAATAGGCATAATTGCTCCCATTAATGTAGGGAGGAACAGATAATGACTAACTCATCTAGACAAAATATAAGATCAATTAATGATCAAAATTAGGCCCTAATACCACTTGAAAGTACGCCCGTTAATCAATTTTAATCAACTCGTTTAGACCTTATGTGATAAGCAACGTGATTATTAAATAAGCAATTAACAAACAACAAGTCACTTTTAATTGTTTTTGGGTGATAAGTTAATCAAGTTCA